TTTCCTAATTACTTACATAAGGCCATAGCAAGTAAATTTTATGGATGACAACCTCCGCAGACTCCAAATCTAATGCGAGCGGGCGAAAAAAAACAAGGCGGACCGAAAAAACAAGGTTCCTACATTAAAAATTTTGACTCGATCATTGTACAAATGGTTTTTGATTCAGTAGGAACATCACATATACACAGCCAGTATCACATGTCACTGCATCAAAGTAAAAACCAAACATTTAATCAGAGCCTTTTTTGTCTCCGCTCTTCACAGTTATCTGACATCCACCTTCCGGCAGTGCAACAGACATCTTTGTCCATTTTTTTGCATGTTGGCCACTGTCAGAATGCAACAAAATTTCTTTTTTTTTCCAAAATCAGGCGAAAACTAATGCGCTCGCTGATGTCATCCATAAAAATTACTTGCTGTGGCCTAACAGTCTATTACATACAAAATTTCACTCGAATTAAGATTCCCCCTCGATGGTCATTCCTGGTGATTTAACCGCAGTTGTCGCTGGGTGTGGGCTTTCTAATTCATCACAAATTAAACAAGTATACGTAGTCATAGGCGACAATTCTCCGTGAAGTTTTATATTTTGCAGATTGGGAATAATATAGTGTATGATAACAGTGTGTGCGCACTTCACAACTGGTAACAACGTATCGTAAAAATGTCTAAAATATAAAAAATCTCTGGTCAAATACTAGTACATAAGATCGCGCTCGTGCCCCAACCCCCTGAGGTGGAGGCTATAATCCCCGGCCGAGAGTTTGTATAAATACAGGCTACATAAGATCAACAACGTAACACAACAAATTACTAAACAGAAAAACAAAGTCATCTTCCATAGCAATATCTTTCATTTACTGCATATCATTTATTTAATAAGATACCGTAGTAGGTGCAAATTATAAGTCACAATATCCCAACAGATAATCGCCAACGAGTACACAAAAATCAAACAATATCTGCTTTAATACTGTACAATACAGCAGGTCGCCTATGGCCTATTCCACGCGATTATCTTAAGTATGCATTTACTTCCATATAAAAACTGATACGGTAAAGAGAAAACAATGCGCATCGACACGAACATAACGGCACACCACATTCCAACTTACAGAAAAATGCAACGAAGACAACTATATTTCTTAGGTGTGAACACATTTGAAAACGACCTGCATACTTAAACAATGGGCCACGAACAGCTGTTTCTAATTACTGACCCACCCTAGCGTCTGCTTGAGAAAAAAATCGCGCTATTCAAATTTCTGGGCCGTACCAATTTGCCTCATAAATTTAGGGATGCATCTGCAATATGACCACGAAAACAGCTACGGTAAAAATAAAAATACGTACGTGCATCATCTCTGGCATGCCTGCAGACCACGTATAAAATTACTTGCCTATTTTAATTCTGTGTTTTAGCTCCGAACACGAAAAACCGTCTGACCACAATACTCCTGCAGGAGGTGTACCTCCTTCACGGAGTCATAAGGAGAAAGTTAACCCCTTCAAAGTTGCTGCTACAGTTACAGGCTAGCTCTATGCCTAGAAGTGGCCAATGGCCTTGCATTGAGCGACACAGTTTTAAAAAAAAGTCTTAATCTAATCATCTTAAGTTATCTGTGGAAGTGAGTTGTACGTAAGTGAAACGTATTTCAGCCAGACGGCTGCATTGTTTTGCAGAAATAAACCATTCATTCATTCATTCATTCATTCAAAAATACAAACTTTTCGATGGAAGCAGACTGCTAAAAAAACTTTATTACTGAGCTAATAATTATATTTAATATTGGTTCCAATATTATCTTAAATCACATCATGCATATACTGTAGTTGCGCTACGTACCTGTCTAGTCCATCGGAATATTGCATATAACTTGATCAAAAGTATTTTCTCGTGATAAAGTAAATCCTTCAAAGCTTTTTCTTAGAGGCATCCAGTGCAGTTTTTAGGGATTGGAAACCCGATTTTTCGAAGTCAATATTCTAGTCACTTATGTACATACTGAGTTAAAACTACAATACCCCAATGTATATTGGCCCTCATGGAGAAAAAATACCTAAAATTTTGGCGGAAAATTGTTACTGGAAGGGCCCTTGGCTGATTTTTAGGGTACCACCCAGAAAACAAAGGACTCATCTTGGGGCTTGTTTCTGCAGTTTTCAGTACCCAAAGTATGAAATAATGATTGAAATGTGCTAATGTGAAGCAGTATGTGTCAATATCATAAAGATTGACTTATTAAGTCCGTAGCCAGGATTTTGAATGGGGGGGGGGGTTCTTCCCACTGCTTGAGGGGACCTTGAGCGCCGTAGGAAAATTTTGAAAATGAACCTTCTAAAATGGCATTTCGTGCATTTTTGAGAGGATTTCCACGAGAAAATCAGAGATAAATTTTTATTCAATGACAAAGGGAGCAGTTTTTCTACGATTCCAGTCCATCTTTTCAAGAAAAATCTTGGACCTTTACATAAAATGTAGACCAAAAAGTGGACCTTTACAGAAAATGTGGACCAAAAAGTGGACCTTGACATAAAAAGTGGACCAAAAATTGGACCTTTGAGTTCTTTCGAACCCCCCGAACCCCCCCTGGCTACGGGCATGCAAGTTAATGAGAATATTGCCAGTTTTCCTGGTCTGAAATCGCACTGGATGCCTTTAAGTATAGTTTGTACACAGTTTGGGTGATGCTTGCGAATGCGTTTTGTGATTCTAGAAAGGCTTTTTGAACATGTTGCTTATCAAAATGTTTCAACACAGCAAAGGGCGATGGAGAAAACAGCAGAGAGAGCCGCTGGTACACAACACCAGCGTACAATACTTGGGGTAAGTAAAAACAAAGAGCTTCAACCTTAGTAGAAGCACTGTCTCTGAACACAGTTTTTGTAAAAAGCACTGTCTCCAAACACAGTTTTTTGTAAAAAGCACTGTCTCCGAGCATAGTTTCTGTAAAACGTACTGTCTCCGAACACAGTTTCTGTAAAACGTACTGTCTCTGAACACAGTTTTTGTAAAAAGTACTGCCTCTGAACACAGTTTTTGTAAAAAGCACTGTCTCCGAGCACAGTTTCTGTAAAACGTGTTGTCTCCGAACACAGTTTCTGTAAAACGTACTGTCTCTGAACACAGTTTTTGTAAAAAGCACTGTCTCCGAACACAATTCTGTAAAACGTACTGTCTCTGAACACAGTTTCTGAAAAAAGTACTGCCTCTGAACACAGTTTTTGCAAAAAGCACTGTCTCTGAACACAGTTTCTGTAAAACGTGCTGTCTCCGAACACAGTTTCTGTAAAACGTACTGTCTCTGAACACAGTTTTTGTAAAAAGCACTGTCTCCGAACACAATTCTGTAAAACGTACTGTCTCTGAACACAGTTTCTGAAAAAAGTACTGCCTCTGAACACAGTTTTTGTAAAAAGCACTGTCTCTGAACACAGTTTCTGTAAAACGTACTGTCTCTGAACACAGTTTCTGTAAAAAGTACTGCCTCTGAACACAGTTTCTGTAAAACGTACTGTCTCTGAACACAGTTTCTGTAAAACGTACTGTCTCTGAACACAGTTTCTGTAAAACGTACTGTCTCTGAACACAGTTTCTGTAAAAAGTACTGCCTCTGAACACAGTTTCTGTAAAAAGTACTGTCTCTGAACACAGTTTCTGTAAAAAGTACTGCCTCTGAACACAGTTTCTGTAAAAAGCACAGTCTCCGAACACAGTTTCTGTAAAACGTACTGTCTCTGAACACAGGTTCTGTAAAAAGTACTGTCTCTGAACACAGTTTCTGTAAAACGTACTGTCTCTGAACACAGTTACTGAAAAAAAGTACTGTCTCTGAACACAGTGTCTGTAAAAAGTACTGTCTCTGAACACAGTTTCTCTGAAAAGGCACTGTCTCCGAACACAGTTTCTGTAAAAAGTACTGTGTCTGAACACAGTTTCTGTAAAAAGTACTGCCTCTGAACACAGTTTTTGTAAAAGGCACTGTCTCCAAACACAGTTTCTGTAAAACGTACTGTCTCTGAACACAGTTACTGAAAAAAAGTAGTCTCTGAACACAGTTTCTGTAGTTGATAGATTAGTAGATAGTAACAGTTGTAACATTTCTTCTGCCTACGAAGTTGTGAACACTTTTATTCCTTGTTTTGATTCTGTTTGTAGACCCGTTGGGCTGCGCCTCGTGGGATGACTTCCAGTGCTATGACGGCCGGTGCATACCCCGATCCTGGGTCTGCGATGGCTATCAGGACTGTTCACAAGGCGAAGACGAGTATTTACAATATTGCTCCTATGCTCTGGCAACGGGGCGTAAGTTACATTTCCCTGGATAATATGGGTCCTTGATATTTAGTTGTACCTTGATAGACCACCTTTGAGTGAAAACAAAATTGTGTGGAATGCAGAGTAGATCATTGTAATCTAATAGCCTATCACGCTGTTAGGTAAGGATTACATTACGCATGGCCTGGAGAATAGTGCAATATTTTGACCATCATAAGAGAATAAAGTTTTTTAAACCCTAAACAGCACACCTGGGGTCCGCGCGGACCCCAGCACTATGTATTCTGTAATACTTTTTTTTGTTTCTAAAGATTTTTTTCTGAAATTTCAGGTAATTGTCACCAACAAAGTTGTCCTTCAATACAGTGCACAAAATTCAATTTCCCCCATTTCTAAAAATTTGTATATCTGATTTCCTTTTGGGGTCCGCGCGGACCCCAGCCGGCTTTCGATCATAATGGATACACTGGCGTTCTTATACATTACTTTATTTACGTTTATACATGTTTTTCATGCACATATCGTAATCGGTCCGGGAAGGTGTACTGTTGAGGGTTAATGTGATCTGTTTGAATATAGTTGCTGATACTACTACTACTACATGACAAATTTATGTGTTCTACTTTTAACCCATCGGAAGAACCATGGACACAGCCAAGCCAGACTACAGACTGGGGATGGTGGGAAACAACAACACCAGGTAAGCTGATCAAACAAACAGTGATGTAATAGACTATATTTGAAATAGACTATGAAGTGTACGAGTGTGCTGTTGGAACAGATGGGTCATGGACAAGTTTTCCCAGACATGCCATTTTTTCAAACCTTCTTACAATGACAATGGCAATGGCAGAGGTATCATCTCTGTTGCAGAGGAGGCAACATCCTCCTTGTGGAGATGGGTGCATCTGGCGAGAGCTATCCGTATATTGCTACAGAGAAAGCCAAAAGTGTCACAACAGCGTATGTGAAATGTGCTTCTGTGATGGCGTCTAGTACAGGCTTTGTAATTACATTATAGTTATTTGCTTAAGCTACTGAGACAGGTGTCGATATGATGTGAGGCAGGTGCTTTGAAAGTTGCCTCAATTGAAGAAATACTAAAAGAACGCTGCATTCTCAAGGGGCGAATGAAACCAACGCTACCTGCAACTTCGACCATGGTGACTGCGGCTACAGCAATATTAATGAGTCGTCAAGCGTTCAGTGGATACGACGCAGCGGTTCCACACCTTCTTCTTCAACTGGCCCGAGCGGAGATCACACGACAGGGCATGGTTAGGACTTATTTCAGTTTGCCTTTTCAATTTGTTATCATTGATAAAATATCATATTTGCAATTTTCAATGTGCTGTTTGAAAAGGAAAGGTTTGCTTGGGCGATGTAAAAATGACAAAGTTTCATGTATATTGAATCACGATCACATTGACTCAAGCATTAAGTAGTATCTTGTCAAAATGGCTCACCTGTCAGTTTTTTTAAATCCAATTTTAACGTCATTTTCACCCGAAACGGGGGTTAGATGTGCTTGCTGTCACCAATCGTTATGTGGTCACTTCAGGCAGGTCAGAAGCAAGTCTAGGCAATACATGTTCCTAAAACGGGACATAAGGTTCCTGGACGTCGATTAGCAGCTTATGTGTTTCGTTGTATTTGAATTGGCTTTAGTAAAGTTTAGGTCTCTCAAAGCAGAACCAGTAAGCAGAAGCGAGCTATGCTACTTTGGCAGATGCTTGTTTGATTGAAAAATCTTTATTGACAGGGTACTACATGTACATCGAGACTTCATACGGGTACACGGGAGATGTAGCCCGTCTTATCAGCCCCACCGTCTACGACAGTGATTGGTACTGTCTGCAGTTCGCCTACCACATGTACGGGACTGACATCAGGGAACTACGGGTACTGATCGGGTCAAACCTCGTGTGGAGCCGGTCGTACAACCAAGGAAGTCGCTGGCATCTGGCTTCCGTGCAAGTCTACATACGCAACGATCAGGTTTGAAACCCATGTTATCAACAGGCCTGCAATTCTACATTCTAGCGTAAGATAAACATGAGCGGAGCTTTTATCGTTATATTAATATTTATTGTTGTGTGCAGGTCGTGTTTGAAGGTGTTCGTGGTAGCGGCTTCAGAGGGGACATCGCCATTGACGACGTTGTCCTGAACCCTGGAGCCTGTCCAACAGGTTGATGATATTTTACACTCACAACATTAGTAAGTGTGTGTAGCTATCAGTGTAGAAGTGTAGAATGATCAGACACGTGTATCTAACTACTGTTTGTGAAATGAGAATATGCATTTTGGTAATTTAACTCTTTCCTCAACACCGAGATCTACTAAAGTCGCTTCTTTGTTCAGTACAAGAGACCACTTCTTATTAGACATCATAAGTGACGTTTTATTTTCAGTTCCATGTTCATGGTTAAATTCATGTTCAAACTACGCGGGTTTGTCTATTTCATATTTCCATTGACGACAGATGTGGAAACCACTACAGAAGAACCAACCCCCGGCTGGTGGGAACAAACCACAAATTACTGGTGGGGAGCTTCGGCTACGCCAGGTGATGATATTAGTGAAAGCACATTTCACTGCTCTTTCGTGCTGACTTATAGATCGAACTAGCTTATAAAAGATTTTTACTAGCTCTGGAGCATTGAATATTTAACTTTGCATCTTCACTGGCAGCTAGGCAACTTGCAATACTACACATTATAATGTTTCTTCTAGAAGACAAATTATTACTTGTAGTTAAAAACGTTTGTTGGACACTAAGCAAATATATGCAGATATGCTATATTGACCGATTACATTAACTTTTTTTAGATTAAGACTCACAGGATAAGAATTTTTCGGGACGGATCTCTATATACATTTTCAACATATAGTCCCGATTTCCTACACAACTATTTTCATTCCTAAACATCAGACGCCGTCCCATGTGGCGGGCACTTCTACCAATCTTCCGGTGTCATCGAGAGTCCGCACTACCCAAACAACTACTTTAACAACGCCAACTGCCAGTGGACCATCACCGGGAGCCACGGAACTAGAGTGGGAATCACAGTGGAGCGTTACAACCTGGAATCCGGTTATGACTACCTGAACATTTACGATGGTCGATTCACCAGTTCGCCCAGACTTGCTCGGTATGTTTCATATGTTCTAATCGTATGACATGCTGTTTTTATCCATCAAACATGACTAAAATAGCAAACACTCGCACGTAATACAGCAATGGTGGTTTCAGACCAACCACAATGACTGACCACAACCACCAACCAGTCAATGGGACCGACAGATTCTGACGAGGGATTCCGCTTTCATTCTTAATCATCATCCAAACCTGTTATCATGATGTAGAATTCTCAAATCTTATTAATGTACAGTGTTGCTGTTGTTATTTGACTACAGCCTTAGTGGAACAGGATCCTCGAGGTACTACTACAGCTCATCCAACGAAGTTCTGATCCACTTCACAAGCGATGGAAGCGTAGTAAGGACCGGGTTCAGGATTAGATTTGGGGGTGAGTGGTATCAAAGTAGGTTGTAGTAGTTTAAGATGGGCTCACATGGTGCTTACACATATAGCTTTCAAATGCAGTCCTTATCGGTAAAAACCGATCGTGACTATAATACATTTCAAGACTACGAAATGATGTTCAAATACACTTCTTTGAATCTGACTGGATTTCAAGTACATGTATATTATCGTAAACATTACTATAGGCTCTGGTTTAGAATTCATCTTTTAATCCTATACCTGTTGTTCAAGTATAATCTAAGAAACTTCGTGAAGTTGATAAAACCACAGAGATGACATGGTTGACAGCTCCGGGCGTTGTTGTTTTTTTTTGCCCAGAAATAAATGGGACAAACACTCAAGAACCGACCACGGCCTGGAACGATTGGTGGACGCCAGGTTACCAAACTGATTATTACCACAGTAAGTGTCAATATTCCCTAGTGGTGCCCGTTTGATATGATGACATGTGATATATAGTCGACAGATGTCTTTTAACTGTGGGTGTCTCAAAACATAACGTTTTAGAAAAAGAAAGTCGATTTGCTGTTGTTGGCAACATTGGCTTACGAAGGGTGCTTATTTTCTATGCACATGCAGAGCTAGAGTTAAGAAATAAAATGATAATCTGTATAAAATGTCCAACAGACTTCCAGGTCCGACTGAGGGGCGGTGACGGCTACAGCTACGGCAGAGTGGAGGTCTATTACAACGGACAGTGGGGGACTGTCTGTAGTGACAACTTCAGCCGGCAAGAAGCCCGAGTCATCTGCCGTGAGCTGGGATTCTCAGACTACGACAACTACTACTACAGTGCGTACTTCGGACAGGGCAGCGGACCGATATGGATGGACGACCTTGGCTGCTCTGGGTACGAGAGCTCCCTGCAGTACTGCCCACATAACGGATGGGGGAACCACAACTGTGGACACCACGAGGACGTCGCAGTCCGATGCTGTAAGTTTAAGTTCCATACTGCTTGTGTGATGGTTTATAGTACAAATATGCGTACGTACATACGCGTATTCCGACAATACTAAGGACAGGAGAAACATAATAAATAAATAAATAATAAAAAGATAATTATTTCTTTCAATACTTGAAAGTATTGAAAGAAATAATTATCTATTTTTCGTCGTTTCGTCTGAACCATGTTAGTAGAATATTTCACATTCATCTATTCAACATCAATATTACACCACATTGTAACTGTTTCAGTGACTGTTACTGATATATCCACAATGTAACCCAAAGTAGAAAATGAACCAATTGCAAAATATATATATTAGTATATTACGGTCTTTGAATAATTATATTTCACAATGCTATGTGTTGTGAGACTATGCATTAATGGCTGTCAATGTTCCCTGTCTGTTATACAGGGCAATACTCTACTCCAGCACCATATGCCGGAACTGACAACTACTGGCGCACCGAAGAACCGACCACGGCTCCCGACACTTGGTGGTGGACCACGGCCTGGAACAACTGGTGGACGCCAGGAAACATCGATCCTTATAACAGTAAGCGATTTTACCTCGGGAAATGTTTTGGACATTATTTCACACAGAATCATGGACTTTTCATACTTCCTGGCAAATCGTCAATCGTGCTAAGGTGTCGGATGGTGAAGTGTTAATGGTCTGGAAATGGGGTGCAGATCGCGTCTTAAATGACAATCTGAACGTCAAATTTCATGTCACATCTCACAGACTTCCAGGTCCGACTGAGGGGCGGAAACTACCACAGCTACGGCAGAGTGGAGGTCTACTACAACGGACAGTGGGGGACTGTCTGTGGCGATGGTTTTGGCTGGCAGGAAGCCCGAGTCGTCTGCCGTGAGCTGGGATACTCTACTGTTTACACCTACCACCACAACGCGTACTTCGGCCAGGGCAGCGGACCGATATGGATGGACGACCTGAATTGCACCGGGTCTGAGAGTTCCCTGCAGGACTGTCCACATCGCGGCTGGGGGAGCCACAACTGTCACCATCGGGAGGACATCGGAGTAGTCTGTGGCTGTAAGTTACAGTTCAGTACTGCATATGTGTTTATGCTTCAAATAGACGCAAGATTGATTCCGACAAAACCATGTATAGAAAAACAAGGACTTTGAAAAAAAAAGAAATAACGTTTAGAACAACATTTGGGATTAGCTTATTCAATATTACACTACACTGTAACGATGTAATTGCAGTAGGAGATAGATCAATGGCATACTATATGATTTTATTGATGAAACGATAACAGCGTTTCCTCCTATTTGACAAATGTACATATCAACTAGAATGTACATTATGCATGTTCTCTGTCCGTCGCACAGGGCAACCCTCTATTCCAGCACCAAATGATAACTACTGGCGCACAATGCTATGTGTTGTAAGACTATGCATTAATGGCTGTCAATGTTCCCTGTCTGTTATACATGCAGGGCAATACTCTACTCCAGCACCATATGCCGGAACTGACAACTACTGGCGCACCGAAGAACCGACCACGGCTCCCGACACTTGGTGGTGGACCACGGCCTGGAACAACTGGTGGACGCCAGGAAACATCGATCCTTATTACTGTAAGTAATTTTACTTTATTCGGGAAAGGCCTTTTAATGTGTCAGGTTGCAGGAGTGGGTTAGTGGGATCACATGGACAGTAACCTGTCGTGGGTAGCTTGACATATCCTTTTTCTGTTTCCTTTCTTTGGCTCAGTAACGTCGAAAAGTCAGAAAAAGATTATAGTTAAAACACTGTTGTTTCTCTTGTCTAGTTCTCCTTCTTTCCTGATTTTGTTATACCCCAATTCAAAACGGAAATGCCATTTGACATTATTTCACACTACTCTTTTCAAATTTTCTGGCAATTCGTCAACTGTGCCAAGGTCATGGTGTAATTAATGCTAACGGTCAAAATGTGTCACGAGTCGCGTTTGAATCTGTCATCAATGTAAACGTCACAGTTCATGTCATATCCCACAGACTTCCAGGTCCGACTGAGGGGCAACGGCAGTGACTACCACAGCTACGGCAGAGTGGAGGTCTACTACAACGGACAGTGGGGAACTGTCTGCGACGACACCTTCGGGTGGCAGGAAGCCCGAGTCATCTGCCGTGAACTTGGATTCTCCGACTACTCCAGCTACCACTACAACGCGTACTTCGGGCAGGGTAGCGGGCCGATATGGATGGACAACCTGCACTGCACCGGGTACGAGAGTTCCCTGCAGTACTGCTCACATAACGGTTGGGGAAGCCATAACTGCGGACACTATGAAGACGTCAGCGTGGTTTGTGGTGAGTACTCGTAACATTGGATTAAAGACATTTTCGTCTCCAGTATTTATGAAATGTATTTATGGCGCATTAAGCTGGCAATGTCATAAATAGCATGGCATGGAGAGTTTGGGTATCACTGTGGAATAGTGTGGCGGATGAATGTGGCGAAATCTGGAATGTGGAAGTGGTTTGTATGAAAGGTCATACAGAGGTCATTTTGCACGCGTTCAAGGAGAGTGTGTTGGACGGTATCATTATTTATTAAGGATGGACAGTTTGTAGCCCCAGGAGGTCGTCTTGGGCATGCGGTTATTCTTTTGTTCTTTTAATTAAGACGGGACCTGTTGAATCCCAGCGGGATCGCTTCTAACTTTTCTCACGACAAGCCAACATCAATACTGACAAAGGGTGGGGCTCAACTTAAGGATGTCCTAGAAAACGTGCTTAACGAGGATGGATTGAACTGGGACGCGTTATCACCGCGATGGTTTTTGTTTTGGATGAACACGTACGAATCAAGTTACGCGAGTCAAGAACGAGCCAAGATGCTCAGAATTAGCCGAGTGTGACTTGTTGGGAAGGTGTTTGTAACGACGTGGGGGATGGAATGAGATGATTGACAAAGAAAATGTGTCACTCATTGTTAACATAATAACATCGCGAGTCAGTTATGGCAAATACATTAACAACATTGTGAGTCACTCATTGCGCATACATAACGGCATCGTGAGTCACTCAGGGTGTACATAGCGATATGGGTGAGTCACTCAGCATATGCACACTATGGCAATGTTGCTAGAATAAACGATTGCTCAGGAGTATTTGTGGTAAAGAAGCCCACATGGTTTCATGCTTATGCTTATCATAATATATGTATATATATATATATATATATATATATATATATATATATATATATATATATATATATATATATATATATATATATCAGGGACACAAAAGACTGTCTCGTCATCAGTCATGAATTCGAAGGTTTCGAGGAACTCACAGCAAGCCAGCGTACGACAGACGTCCTATACCTATACGCTAGCGCTGTGGCAAACATGGTACACGCGTATCAATAGTTACATTACGAAGACTTTTAATAGAAGGGTGACATTGCATTATTTTGTCATCAATGCTCTGAGACCCAGATTTTGCTGTGCACGATTTCATAACTTAACATTTCGTAACGCGGTGGCAAGGCAGCAAACTCTACGAGATAAAATTTTTCGCCAGCGCGTTTTGTCTATTTCATCACGCCCTGAGGGACATCGCCAGCTCGTGCGTTAGAGGAATATTCCAGTCTGGCTAGAGCGTCCACTTCTCATCACCACTATCCAAGCTGTACTCTTCACTTTCCTCATCAGAAAAGCCGCGCTGTGTTTCTGTGTGTGTGTGTGTGTGTGTGTGTGTGTGTGTGTGTGTGTAACATGTTGAAAATACATGTACTCCTAATCAATTCCAACTACTGAGGAATGCATTCTGAGAAATGACTCCTGAGTGGCTCATTATATTGTAGTAATTACCTAGTTATCTTATGCCAGGAGTGACTCATTTAATTTGTATATACGCACATGTCCCACATTGTTGTTATTTTAACAATGAGTGCCTTATTATATTCGTCAATCATCTCATTCCATCCCCCACGTCGTTACAACCACCTTCCCACCAAGGCACACTCGGCTAACTCTGAGCATCTTGCGTTTTCCTGGCTCGTTCGTGACTCACGTAACTTGATTCGTACATGTTCAAAACAAAAACCATCGCGGAGATGACGCGTCCCAGTTCAATCCATCCTCGTTAATCACGTTTTCTAGGACATCCTTAAGTTGAGCCCCACCCTTTGTTATTGATGTGGGCTTGTCGTGAGAAAAGTTAGAAGCGATCGCGCTGGGATTCAACAGGCCCCGTCTTAATTAAACAAAAGGATTATCCCATGCCCAAGACGACCTCTTGGGGCTACAAACTGTCCATCCTTAATAGATAACGATACCGTCCAACCCACTCTCCTGGGACGCGTGCAAAATGACCTCTGTATGACACTTCACAAACCACACCCATATTCCAGATTCCGTCACATTCATCCACCACATCCCACAATGGTACCCAAACTGTCCATGCTATACTACTGTCATACCTCAGAAACTGACAGTTTGCATTGTGTACTTTGTTTATCGTGTCGTGTTTGTGCCACTGACAGTTTTGTGTTACTGAAACTGTGACCAAACTTTGGACAAATATGCTGAATGTTGTTGGCATCATGCCATATGGGGAACTATGGTTGTGCTATGTACACATATATCGATTGCGGACCATGTCATACAATTTGGTCCACAAGATAAGGAAAGAAATATGGTCTTTTGTTGCTCTATGCATGTCATTTTCTTGTGTCTTTATTGTTGATTAACATTATTGTCTACCAGCTATCAATAGCACTGCGTCTGCGCCACTATGGTGGACAACGGATTACTGGAATGGTAAGTCGGAATATTTACCTACCAATTTGTTGCGACGTCAGGCTGCGTGTTCTTCTAGTCATTATGTAGATACATGTATCTTTTAATGCCATGTTGACGATTTACATGATCCTGCGGGTTGAAAATTACTCAGTTGACTTTTCATGGTCTTGTATGACTTCGTCTATATCGTTGCCAATTGTGGCTGATCTATTGCTAAAAGTATGTTACTTAGAAGATCGTCCTTTTTCCATGTATTTGCGAACTAACAGGTACAGGAAGCTGTTCATCAGCAGGATGCGGCGGCAATGCAGGGGGCTGCTACTGTGACGCGGCGTGTGTATCTGCTAGAGACTGCTGTTACGACTACGTGGAAGTATGTGGTAAGTATGAGTCAGCCATGTATTCTAGATATTCTGTAACAAGCAACTGCCACCTATCACCCAGAAAAGGACATGCGAAATAAAGTTCTATGAAAATCTGTGCATACGCAGATCCTAGTGAACGTTGTAATTTTAGCTTTGCTATGTTGGGCAGAGGCACTCCGATATAGATCTATGGACGAGTATTTAAATGGATGAAAAAATTCTCATCAGAAATCTGTTGTATTAGGAATTTAGGATATTTAGGAACAGACTAGACCATTGTGGGTGTTTTTTTTTTTTAGATTAATCTGTTTTTTAAACATTTGTAGGTGGAGCCAACAACACTTATCTTCCTACAGCCACCCCACCATGGTACACATCTCAACCTGGTAAGAGAAACATTGTAGTTTGAAATCCAAGCTGGCATTTACACACTTCTTTTGAGGCCCGCCAAAAGTCACCAAATATATCGGTTCTAGCGCAAGCCGTTCAGGCGCTGTCTGAGATGAAAGTTGGCGCGGGCCTCAAAAGCCCCTCCCCGGTCTGAATGGGGTTAATGAATTTCCACAAATATGTAAAAGCCATTTACATCTCACCACACATGTTGATGCCATGTTGTCCTTATGCAGATTTGGGCATGACTGCTTCGTGTGATTCGGGCATGCTGATTGTGACCTTTTACTACATGTGGAGCTACATGTATAACGGCGAACATTAAAACCATCGCGGGTACCTTTCAAGTTAATGTGTGGTAGTAAACCCTTTTTAAAGAAAGGGTCTTCATAATATATTATACCAACACAGATGAACTTTCATACTAAGTTTGGGAACCCTGTATTAGGTCCCGTGCAGGTCGACGTCCTATTGGTAAACGGCAACGGGTACAACACCGGTCTCGTGCTGGTGTTCTACAACGGCCAATGGGGGTCGATCTGCGACGACGGCTTCGACATGGCGGACGCTGACGTCATCTGTCGGCAGCTCGGCTTCACCGGTGCCGAGGCTTTCTACGAGGAGGCGTACTTCAACGAGGGACACGGACCGATCTGGTTGGACGAACTCGCCTGCAACGGAGACGAGTCTAACCTGGCTGAATGCGCTCACCAAGGATGGGGCATCCACAACTGTCAACACAAGGAAGACGTGGGACTAAAATGTGCAGGTGAGGACCAACGCTGAGAAACAACTATTCCCAATAGCTGTGTGCTGATTTTCATTGATACTGTCAGTTGTTTTGCCAAAACTACGTTCCATGAGTTATTGGCCAAGGTTCTTGTAGGAGAGGCTAAGAAGTTCGATATCTTTACATGTACCTTGTCTGTTGGAACATTGTGTAGCTCTCTGTTTAATCAATAATGCAACGTTTAACTTTTACCTCCGTGAAAGCTCAACGAGAGGTACTGGTTTGTCTGTTTGTTTGTTTGTTTGTTTGTTTGTTTGTTTGTTTGTTTGTCTAAAGTATTTGCGCACACTTTAGCCAGGAATAAAGAAGCTATAAATGGATGGTGGTAAAATTCTATAAGCAACGTTACGTAGGTTTTTAGGAAGACAACTGTCAGAGTCAATTTGAGGCGTTTTTTTTTGGTACTGTAGCGGACCGTTCAGTTTTTGAAAATTTTGTATAGTAGTATTCTTTGCAGGACATACTGTCATCTATTGCTGCTTCTAACATAGAAATGCTTCTTTTGTTTATAGACTTTCAGATTCGTCTTGCGGACGGAGATTTCGATCACGGCCGACTGGAGGTGTACCACGCGGGTCAGTGGGGTACCGTGTGCGACGACAAATTCGGGCTGATGGAGGCTAATGTAGCGTGCCACCGGTGACAGACAGCGTTTACAGTAGTTAATAGAAAACTATGGTCGGCGTTAGATGGTATATACTGTGCTGAGATGTGCTCTCCACATCCTGAGAGAAACGCTGAGAACAGTATTACTATGCCAAGAGTAACGTTGAACCATGGAGCTACCAATAGCTCCGTGGGTGAACACGGTGCTTCTACGTGGATAATCAGGAGTACATATCTGAGAGGTCAGCAATAGGTCAACGTCAGGACGTTACCGGCCTGTGCTCGATGCTCGCGAGAGTTCGGCTGTCTCGAGACAGTGCGAGATTTGATTCATCTCCAGCAGAAAATCCGAATCCTGATGCACACGTGATAAAGCTATGCCGAAAACGAGTGTATTTTCTTCACCAAAGCCATCTGGACCACCAAATTAGGCTACTGGCAGGGTAAGTTCTTGCAGGTGAGTCGCTAGCCAGCGGAAACGCTGGTCTATCCTTCTAACATCGACAGTAACTAAGGCTGTTCTCATTCGATTTGACCGCCCTCCCCCCTACGCAACACAACCCGATTGGCTTATATTTTCTTTTGGCGAACTACCCGATAAGAGCTCAATAGGAACGAATCCAAAGTTACAATGTAATCTATGATTGCCCATACATATACTGCCGAGTCTTAGCTTCGTATGTTGTCACTTAGAAGCTAGCTTTATCCCCAACTGAGACCAAGGACAAATCCTTGCTAAGACGTCCGATCCTCGGAAACACCATGGATCCCACGTTTCAAGTTAAAATTCAACAAAACTTTTTAATAACTTTTGATTAGCAAAGTCAGGAAATGACATTTTAGCTATTTATAGTCTCAAGTATACTACATTTCAGCTGATATAGAGACAGCAAGGCAGAAAAAACGTTATGCTGTCTGCGAAAGTTTGGTGGCATATTTGACCAGTCCCGAGTATGCAAATAAGCTGCAAAGTAGGCCATTTTCCGACATTTTGATTTGATTTCGTTGTTTTTTTTTTGTCCATTTAGGGTACTACAGTACTTCGATCACTTGCTTGTGTTTGAGGCTTTCCTTATCTTTCTTGATGATTCTGTAGCCAACGGGCAATGGATACCAGGATTTTTAAAAATCATATAAAATTATAATTAGTAGTCCATGTACTAGGCCATTCTGCCCATAAATTTGGCATAATGCTGGTTAGCATGCTGAGTAGATTGGAAATTTCTTCAAATACATCCTGATATTGACATATGCTTTTCAGTTGGATCTCTTGCTCTTACTTCCCCCCAAATAAATCTCTTGACTGCCGTGTCCTCAGGTTCCTCTGACCCCAGTTTTTATGATTTTGTTTTCAAAGCAGAAACCCTTTGGTTAGTTTTGGTTAGATATGGCCACAGTCCTGTTTAGAATGAATTATTTTTCTGTGAAAAGTGGTTTGTTGCTGCTTCCTGATGGACTTTTTCAGCATTTGTCACCTCTTTGTCCTGTTAGAAACTAAAGTAGTACATTTTTTATGTGAAAAAATAAATTAAAGGCTTTTTTAATGGAGCTGCTAGTATTTTGGCTTACTTATGAATGGCTTACTAGTATTTTCTATGAAAAGCTCAGTTCTTCCTACCTGTAATAAAAGGAAAATGCAACCTGCAACAATCACAAAACAATGTTGTGCACTTCTATTAAAAATCTAACATTATTACTGGTAACGTACCACGGTGCATGATAACCGTTCCCTAACCTGAAGTCCAATCAGATTTAAATTTGATTTAATTCGAACCAGGAAGTTCTAACAACTAGAAATGAAACCATTAGGCTATAGAATTCAAGCTAAATCAGTAAATGAAAAGAGGCAGTAAGGTTTCTTGTAGGTTTGTGCTAACATTGTACATTATATCATGTTGTGCAAGCACCAAAATTTTCAAGGTTCTCGGTGCACCTATACCCAATGTCTGGTTATCCAGTCTTGTTTTTTTTAATCCATTGTATAGTGGGGGATATTTCTTACCTCTTTGCTATTACTAGTATTAGTCGAATTTTGCAATGAACTGGACTTATGTACAGTGGTGGGCTGTATTATGATTACATGGTTTGAATCACCATGTGAATTGTGATGTATTTGTTTCTCTTTTTATTTCTAGTATGTGGAGGGCAGGAAGAAGAAGAAGACAGAGACAGGGATTTCAGGGTGTGGTCTTACCCCTCAGAATACTGGAGGATAATGGCATTAGTAGGACAGTACGATCTGTGTACAGGCAAGATGAACCCCAAGTTTCAAGTGCAGCCCCAACAACCACCTTACAACCCACAGCAGACAACAATGACATTACATCTTCATGTCAGCAGTCAGCTGATGAGCCCGTTCCTGATGTATCACGGCACCAGCAGAAAAAAGAGCAAGAGAAGGAGGCATGGGCTGACCGACGAGATGATCTTATCCAGACAGGGATGAAGCTGGCCACGCCACCCACAGACTTCTGCTACTACTGTGAACAGAGGGTTACCTCCCCAATGCTGTACTGCCGGGATTGCGGGCCACTTGGGATCTACTGCCTGACATGTTTTGAGATGTTCCACATCAGTCCATCTCTACATCGCCATTGCAGTGGAAGTATGTTACATTTATATTCTGTATGCGCTGGTAAACCCTACCAAATTGATGCATGACATTTTATTGCGGCCTAATTGAAAACCAAATGCAAGTTTGCAGTTTACAATAAAAAAGCTAAAATCATATAGTACATGTTGAGGTCCATGTTGTACATTTTAATGGTTATGGTGCTATGGGAAAATGTGTTCACAGTTCCACACTGATGAATTGCCAGTAGTTTGCAC